GGTCCCAGTAAAGTAGGCAACCACAGGCCGATTTGTACGACACCTGTTTTGGCTAAGGCTGCAAACAAGATTGGCTGCTTAAATCGAAAGATATACTGGCGCCCGTATAAGACGATTTCATGCTAGGCCTTTCATGCATTACCAGCCTGCAGGTCATCATCATCATCATCAACAGCAGTACATCAGCCAGTTGAACTGATGCTTCTCTGCCATACAACCATGAGGACCTATGAAATAAAGAATAAGAAGAGGGAGAGAAGGGGGACTTACCTGAAAACCTTAATGCCCTAAGCAAACATTCAGGGTCAAGGCGCCTACACCTTGTGTAGACAACATACCGTCACAAACAGCTGGCTATCGTGCAAAGATAAGGCGGCATCGGCGAGACAGCTTCCTTGCGGCTTTCACTGCCACGCGTCATAATCACCCATTACCCCGCAGATAACTCAGCACCAAACGCACTTTAAACAGGCAATCCGATTAGGAGACGGCAACAGACGTGCCACTGGTGTCGGTTGCGAGCCATGTCCTGTAAAGTCTCGAGCCAAGCATAAGATGAGTCACGTGGACTCCAACCCGGAAGGCGAGACGGACCAACGGCACCCAGTTTGGTCGTCAGTGACTTCAGTTCCCGCTGCGAAGTCAACTTCTGTCCACCTCGAGCCTTGCGCCATCCGACACCTGGTAGACTGAACAAGGCCCTCTTAGGTAAGCGGTGAACAGGCATGCGTAGCACGTGCCCGAGCCCACGTAACTTATTCAGTGCTATGTGTTGTTCTAGGGAGCTAGCATGATCATCACCACCTAGTACTCGCCTACGCACATCATCGTTGCGGACACCCTGGTGCCATCCGACACCAGCAATGCTTCGCAAACAAGGATGATCAAAGACTTGAAGGCGCCTCAGATCTTCAGACCGAAGGGGCCAAGTCTCACTACCATACAGCAGAACGGCCCTCACTGTGGCCTTGTATACACGGCCTTTCAGACGGAGGGAAACTCCCTTCTGTCGCCAAAGATGACGCAGGTTCAAGAAGGCAGCTCTAGCCTTTGCAAAGCGTGAGCTCACGTCAGTTTCTATGCGCCCATCATTGCTGATGCAGCTGCCAAGATAAGTGAATTGATCAACCACCTCGAGTTCCTCGTTAGCAAGCGTCAAGGGGTCATCAAGTGGTTGGTGGTCCTGCAGCAACACTTTGCACTTCGAAGGTGCGAAGTGCATACCAAATAATGGGACCACTCTGGATAGGCTATTCAGGGTTGATTGTGCCGCCTCAACATTGTCGAAAAGCAAGACGATATCGTCCGCATAATCTAGATCAACTAACCGTTCACCAGGCAGCACTTCAACGCCTACACCGTGAGATTCCGCAAGGGAACACTCCATGATAGAATCCACGACGAAATTGAACACAAATGGGGAAATCGGGCAACCCTGTCGAACGCCACTTGTAGTCGAAAAGCTATCCGATAGGGCACCATAGACCCTGACGCGGCCTGTAGTGTTCGAGTATAGAGCACGAAGGATGCTCACATATTTCGTAGGAACACCTTTCCGCGCAAGTATTTCGAACAGAATCGATCGATCGACTGAATCGAACGCACTCTTGAAATCGAGGAACACAGCTATTGTCGGTCTGCGGTATGCGTGGCGCTGCTTTAGCACCTGCCGCAAAGTAAATATATGGTCTATACAGCCACGTCCTGGGCGAAAACCGGCCTGCTCTTCTCTAATCCGAGATTCCCGTTCTGCAGTGAGGCGACGAACGATAATCGAGGCCAGTAATTTTGTCACAACTGCGTTAGGCTAATACCCCTGTGGTTCGCACAGTCTGTGCGACTGCCCTTCTTGTATATTGCCACTATAATCGATTCGCTCCAATTAGTCGGCACACTCTCTTCGTTCCAGATACGTTCGAATAAGGAGGTCAGTGCTTTGCAGAGGACCTCACCTCCATCCTTAAATAGTGCAGGTGGTAGGGAATCCGGGCCAGCGGCACGAAAACGATTGAGGGCTGTGATCGCGTTTCGGACCTCGGACTCCGACGGAGGCTCTAAACTAACCGTCCATGGCTCGTCCTGCATCACCTGAGTAGGAAGAGGTCCGGGAGCAGGGGGCCAGCTGAACTGATGTTCAAAGTGCTCAGCCCAACGAGCCATACGGCGCTCCTTATTGTGTATCAGCGCACCCGCGCTGTCCTTGATTGTCTCACTGACGCCTGGTTTTCTCGGACCAGTGGTGCGTATTAGCTGGAAGAGCTTCCGGTAATTGCCTACTGCTCCTGCCTCCTCCATTTCTTGAGCCCGACTGGTCCACCAGGTTTCCTTGTCAGCACGTAGGCTCCGCTTTAGTTCACGCCTAATAGCCCGTCTGGTCACATTGTGTTCAGAACCAGCCGGGAGGTGCCTTCTAGCTTCCAAAAGGTTCACGGACCTCTCGGATATCCAGTGACTGGTGCGATGACGACTGATAGTGCCACAAGCAGATGCTCCTGCGTCGTGCATAGTGGCCGAGATCCTATTCCACTGAAGCTCAGTGTCATTAGGACAAGACAGCGAGAGTTCGCTATGCAGTGCTTCTTGATAGGCTTGCCTGACAGAGGGCTGGGACAATTTCTCCGTTGCCAATCGGGGGAGACGCTTTGTGCGCCTTCCGGTAAAGTTCATGGAGAGACGACAGCGCACCAAGGCATGGTCAGAGTCGACACAGGTACTCCAGTACGAGCGGCAATCCAGAATGGAACCGCGCCACCTGTAACTTATGGCTATGTGGTCAATTTGGGTCCATCGCTGTCCAGCTACAGGTGGACGCCAAGTGGCACTTCGGCGCCCACTGTGTCTAAAAGCAGTGCTAGTAAGAAACAACTGGTGCTCCGCACACAGTTGCAGCAGACGCTCGCCGTTGTCAGTCCGTTCGGAGTTAAGTCCATAATTACCACCCAGCTGAGCTTCTGAAGAGCTCAGACGCCCTACTTGTGCGTTCATATCCCCTGCAAGTACTATAATATCTGAACTAGTAGCACTGCGTAGCAGCGTGTTCAGTTCGTGATAGAAAGTGTCCTTGACTGCATTAGAACTGCAGTCCGTGGGAGCATAAGCAGAAATCACAAACAAACAGCGTTTTGTTTTACTTCGCGAATTCACCTTAGCTGATGTCGTCAAACGGGCTGCACATAAACGGCTGTTCACCGGAATCCAATCAACCAGCGATGACTCAGCCTTGGAGCTGAGAATGATACCTACACCAGCTTGACCCGTGAGTGCCGCATCGGCGTCTCCGGATGCGTGCAACCAATAACGAGAGGATAAGCCGGGTGCAGTCAATTCAATAACCCCGTTAGGGTCATTAATCCTAGTTTCGGACACACAACACACATCAACACCCAGTGTGTCCAAGGTGCGTGCGAGTGCAGCCTGCTGACCTGTTTGTCTTAGAGTGCGGACGTTGAATGTCGCCATGGAAACGGGATAGCGTGGCCTTATAAGGAACATTTGCCGATAGGCGTCCGATAGGTGCGGCGGGATGGTGGCTGCAGATGGTTCTACTCCAGTGGCACTTCGGTTGCTGCCAATTAAGCTGGGAATTATAGAAGGAAGGTTAGTAATGGGGGTAGGGATGGGAGTAAGAGAAAAATGTGGAAAAGAAAGAAGGGAGGCGCCAGCAGTAGCATGCTTTCGCTTATCCGCCCTGCTGTATGCAGCAGATAAGGCGACCCTTGATAATCTGCGCGACGGTCGATGCAGGATGAAGTTTATGTTTGAAGAAAATGTCATGGTTGTATGTGGGCTGAGATACTGCCAGGGCGCCTAGACCTAGACAGGAACCAGCCTGCAGGTGACGAGGCATAAATGGTTGGAGGCAGTGAATCAGGGAAAGTCTGTCGAAGTAAACTGCATCCATAAACCATAATGTCATCATCCAAAAGTTTCACTGCCCCAATGGATCGAGGACTTTCTCGTTGGGCAAAAGTGGTTACAGGTCGACGGACATCTAACTGACTGGGGTCCCTCTACAAGTGGTACGGTGATTGGGTCCACTCTGTTACTAATCCACATAAACGATCTACCTCCGCTTCCTCGGTTACCATATGCCCAGTTTGCGGTCAAACTGAAGAATTGGAGAGAAATTAGAGTCCCAGACGACTACAGCCTACTTCAGCAAAACCCCAACCGCCTCTCCATGTAGTCTGCGAATGTCCACCTTCCTGTCAACCCAACAAAGTCAGTATTCATGAGCCTAGCGCCGCAGTGACAGACCGAACTTAAACTATTGGTGGTCAACCACTATATCCCACACCTATCATGAAAGAGATTGGTGTACCCCCGCGCTGTGATTTAAAGTCCATGAACAACACGAACAGATAACGTCGTAACGGGTTGCAAATGTTCTGGGTGATCAAAGGTAGCTTTGCATTTGGTCTGAAGAGGTCGCCACTTGCCTCTTCTCTTCCATCAGAAGACTAATAAGATAATGATAACGTGTCAGATGTACGACGTGACGGCGCTTCGCTGTCGCGCGACTACCACCCATCGCGCTTAAGTTGAGTATACTGCGAGGATACCCGCGCCTACGCGAATTCGAACCGGTGACCTCATGATTGCAAGTCAGGCGTGCAGACCACTCGGCCACCGGCAGACCATAAGACCAATACTGGAGTACGGCTCACCTGCGTACTGCCCAATAACCCGAGAGGAAGCACAGAAAATTGAACGAGTCTAACACGTCACTATCAAGAGCATTCCAAGTCTACGAGGATTACTGTTCGAAGACCGGTGTGAGAAACTAAGACTGTAAACCACTGTAGGATTTGTGGGCTCAGTGAAAGTGTAAGTCAGACATTTTAAAATGCTACCTAAGAACTTGAAGAACGATTGGATTACCACGGGTGGCAGACACCTTTTACAACATTTTTGTTTACACTGAGAGGGAATTGTGCAGATTCGAATTTCTATTTGCTACCTCAATATAGTATTCATAGTATTAATTCAAAGCGACTCACATTATGTAGCGCTCCTCGAATGGCACCTGCAAGAATGTTGGAATAAAGTAGCTTAGGGTGTTCTGGAGGCAGATCTACAAATTCCGTCAGCGGATTCGGATCAAGCATCAGGGAGAATTCGTCACCGGATGCACTGAACTTGCTCACAGTTGGAGTAATACCAAGAAAAAGCTTGAAACCCTAAGTAAAGAGAAATGAATAAAAAATGCAGCTAAGGACCAAACAACAGCGGCGAGTAAGTTAGGATGCATTCTAAGAAGTTAGCAATCGGCGCCTGCATATTTAAGTCACAGATGAACCAGCAAAACGTTAGACAGCAGAGGCGATGCTTAGAAATCAATTGCAATATTACTAACGTAGGTATGCTATCACCATTTGCTGGTGCCGCTACGCAAAAGAGGAACAAAGCGAAACGAAGGGGATTACTTTAAAACCTACAACACAGGCGAGCATTGTCCGGTAGGAGGCAACGTTTTGAGTCAATGGCGCAAGGCAGACGTATCAAGCCATTTCGGAAACATTCACGTTTGTCATTCGACGTGCGTAGCCACTTTTCTATCGCCTAACAGGAATGAATTGCCGATCAGAGGAGCTGACGCAGCTGTTCTGAAATGTAAACATTCATGGATTCAAACACAAATATCCAGAGTTTCAGACTACTCGTAGCCGTTTTCGGTAGGCGTTGCTCTAACACACTTTTGATCGGACAAATCGACTTTCGTTTTTGACTGGAAGTAGGAGCTACCAGAAATTCGGGGGACCTGCTCTTGTGGATGATTTATATGAGTTACTAGTGAAACTGTGGGAACAGGAAACTGTCCCAAGCGACTGGAGCCGCTCCGTCACAGTCACAATTTTCAAGGGAGGCATCATCATCACAATACACTTTAGCTAGAGGTGGGAAACAGCTACTATGCCGAACTACATAGAAAAAATGAGAAAAAATGCAACAGGTGCAAACCAGCTGAGCTACCAGCAATGGATGGGCATCCTTCCGGTTAGCTAACAGCCGGCTACTATGCAGCAAAAAAATTACTATGCAAAATTATAAAATGTTAAATATTGAGATCCCGGTTGAACTGGGAGGTTAAGAAGGATTGCATGGGACAAAGAAACTCACAGCACGAACGCCACTGAGGTCGCCTCCTAGCCATATCAGCAAGTGTATCCAGCCAAACGTGTTCAAGGTCTTTCGGATCCCAACTAGGGAGCAGAGACGCAGCAACCAAGGCCAGCTCCGAAGTGAAAGCCTTCATTCCTCTGGACCAAGTCATTGCTTGGCCACCCCTCCTCTTCTTCCATCCACACCCCCGGCGCGCAAACAACACACGTCGCGAGAGTCGGTGGGCTGGCATGCGTAACACGTGGCCCAGCCATCGGAGCCTGCCGGAGTCATCGGAATGTGGCAACCATAGAGGAATCAATCTGATCTCCATCGCCTCCAAATTGCTTACCTCTGTCATCCTTCGCAGATTGACTGGCACTCGTGAAATCCATATTCGTGAAAAGCAAGCCGGGTTTCCTCGAGGTCGTGGCTGCATAGACCACATCTTCACTTTGTGTCCGTTGTTGCAGCAATGTCACATATATTGGCGGCCCACCGTTGTCGTGTTCCTCAAAACCAAAGGTGTATTCGATTCGGTGGATAGACGTGCACTTTAGGACTGTCTAGTCAGGAAAGATGTGGTCTCACGGCAAGCTGTCTTCGTCCTTTACTATCTCCAGCGGTGTGAGACAAAGATGCCCCCTGTCAATTTTCCTGTTCAACTTCGCTATTTATGAAGTCATGAAAATCGGGTTCACAAGACACGAATTTGCAGGTGTGGATCTGCTCCCAGGAGAACGATTTCTTGACTTGGAGCATGCAGACGACATTGCCATCATCTGTGACAGCTCCCAGACGTGAAAAAGGGCACTGTACAGATTAGCACTGGCTATCAACCGCTTCGGGCTTTGCTTCGCACCATCGAAATGAAAAGGGTTCCTCCAAGATTGGTTTGAACCGCTTCCTTCGCTGACCTTTGGTGGCGATCAGCTAGAACTCGTGCAGAAATTCAACTACCTGGTAAGTTGTATCAGCGCCCGTGGGATTGAAGATGAGATCACGAACCGTATCGCAAAAGCTCGGGGCGCTTTTGCTAACTTTCGCCACTTATGGCGCCGGCGCGACATCACTCTCACTCTGAAGGGTAGAGTGTACAATGCAGCGGTAAGTTCGACCCTACTGTACGCTTGTAAAACCTGGCCTCTTATACCAGCGGAAATAAAGAGGCTAGTTACATTCGACCGCCAGTGCCTTCGCAATTTAGCTCAAATCTGGTGGGAACACCGCATGAGCAACGAGCGTGTTCGACGCCTTGTTTACGGCACAGGAAAAGGAACTGAACAACTCAGCACCGTTATTTCACGCACCAGGATCGGATGGCTCAGGCACGTGTTACGCATGCCAACCAACGAAACTCACCGAAGAACACGGACGACGTATGTTACGTATGCTGATCACTGACGCACATAACCGAAGGCAAAAATATCTCCGAACGATTGACGTCCAAAAGGAGTTATGCTTATCCAACCTCGGCCTAGAATTGACTAAAGCGCTTGAAAAGGCGATATCCATCAAAACGCACAACACCAAGCTCCACACAAAGCAGAAACTGGAAAAGAAACTAGAGAGAATTTCAAAACCCAGAGCAGTGAATCAAGATGATGCATGGATTAAAAATTTATCCAAACGAACCCTGTCGGATGTAGAAAAAGCAGTAGTTGTTCGTGGCATGCAATTCAACTACAAAGACTCCAATCCCATCAATTTCCTCGCAGAGCTTGAGACAACACTGAGCTCATGTAACATCACAGCTGACGCCCAACACACGATCAGGCACAGTATAATTCCGGCCCTGAGACACAAGAGTGAAACCAACATGTTCAACACAACTGAACAAAAAGCGTTGAGAAACCTTAGGAAAGCTAAAGATATTGTTATCCTACCGGCTGATAAAGGACGTCTCACCGTTGTAATGGACAAATCGGATTATACGAAGAAAGCGCAAGAACTTCTCCAAGATGTGAACACCTATCAACCGATCAACGAAGATCCCACAAAACGATTGGAAAGCAAAATCAAACGCACCCTACAAAATCTGGAACAAATGGGACAGATTACAAAATTAGAACACAGCAAGATGAAACCAGAGGATTCGGTGTTACCGCGATTCTACGGCCTGCCAAAAGTTCACAAAAGTGGAGTCCCCCTCCGCCCTATCGTGTCGTTACCTGGAGCTCCGAATTACAAACTTTCTAAGGAACTCTGGAAGAGATTGAAGCACCTGATCTCTGGCTCGGAACATTCCATACAATCTGCAGAACAATTCCTGGCTAAGCTCAGGGAAACAATAATAGAAGAGGACGAAATCATGGTTTCCTTTGATGTAACAGCTCTGTTCACTTCAATCAACACCAATCTGGCGAAGCAAACGATGTCAAGACTACTAGACCAACGCGGATCCTCAGACACGAACAATAAAATAGATGACATCCACATGATGGAGTTGTTGGATTTATGCCTCACGACACACTTTAGTTACAACGGCCAAATCTACGAACAAATAACAGGCACGCCAATGGGTTCACCGATATCTGGACTAGTGGCCGAAGCAGTGATGCAAGCATTGGAAGAAACCGCACTCCCGATCGCAAAACCTAAACTCTGGCTACGCTACGTGGACGATACTTTTGTCATCCTAAAGCGCTCAAAAGTGGAAGAAACACATCAGCTAATAAACAACACGTTTGCTGGTATCCGTTTCACTAAAGAAGAAGAGAGCAATTGTCAGTTACCATTCTTGGATGTTTTAGTGAAAAGACATGCTGCTGGACAACTGGAGACAACAGTTTATCGAAAAACGACACATACAGACCAAATCTTGAATTATCGCAGCAATCATCCAACAGTCTACAAGCGCAGCTGCGTAACAACTCTATTTAAAAGAGCACAGACCCATTGCAGCACCCCACAGCTGAGAAAAGCGGAGGAAGATCATCTGTTCGAAATGTTTGCACGGAATGGGTATCCTAGAAAGTTCATTCTACGTTGTTTAACACCAATACAACGACCGACACAAGAACAAACATCAGAAACGGATAGAAGGACAATTACTCTACCATACATCAACGGCATCTCTGAGATGGCGGCGAGACTCCTACGACCTTTCGGAATCAGAGTTGCTCACAAGCCGACGGAAACCATCAGAGACAACCTCTTCAATGGCAAGGACCGGCTTGGCATAGAAGAAACAAGCGGTGTGATTTACAAAATCCACTGCAAAAATTGTAACAAATACTATGTGGGCCAGACAGGAAGAAAGCTCGGCACTAGGCTACATGAGCAGTGTTCCAGGACGTGGTGGGTTTTCGCCTGGCAAGCGTTCTCCCTATAAAAAGCCACATATGTCCGTTTAACAACACTGTGACGTGGCGGACGTGACTCGCCACTAAATAAAGTCACTGCCCCTTGCTTCATCCTGGCGAAGCATTGTATTCCAGCAACCTTATGCTGTACTTCTGGGGAGCATTGGGCCCCTGTTTGACATTGGAACAAACGAAAGGCGTATGAACTGAGCAATCAGTCACCGGCTCCCAATGGGCGCGATTCCCTGAATTCGCTCCGCTGCCTTGCGGGCAGGCTATTCAGCCAAAGGCTCGGGGTGGTGTCCCCTAAGTCAACACCCTACTTCGGCTTGGGCAACCGGGTAGTATCTCGCCCTCTGAGGAAACCATGGACATTGTTGTGTTGTGTTTTATTTTGCTGTTTCTGTACCTTCGTTTGAATCCCATGGTTTCTGATGGCATTATGTCTGTTAGCAGACTTTTGCAAATATATATATATATATAGGCTACATGAGCATAGCCTAGCCATCCGCCGACATGATCAGAACTCTCTGATGTCGGCACATATGGACGCTGAGAATCATCAATTTGATTTGGAGAATGTCAGGATCATAGGCAGAGCAAAAAGTCGAAAAGCACGCGAGTTCATCGAGGCTTGGTACTCGGGAGAGAACTCAATCAACAGGCACTTAGATCTAGACACTGCCTATGAGGCACTGAGGGTCAAAAGAATAGTCCGCCCCAGATCAACTGGACGAAGGAACATCATTGAGGCGGACTCTAGCCAACAGTAC